GCTCCCGCCCCCTTGGAGAAGCCCATCGTCCTCATGAAGCCCCGGGAGGAGGGGAAGGGTCCTGTGGCCTCGACAGGCGCCTCGACCCCTGAGGGTACTGCCCCGCCGCCCCCGGCAGCCCCTGCCCCACCGAAGGGAGAGAAGGAGGGGCAGCGTCCCACGCAGCCCGTGTACCAGATCCAGAACCGGGGCATGGGCACTGCCGCACCGGCCGCCATGGACCGTGAGTTGGGTTGGCGGTGGGACTCGGGGGGAGTGGGCCAGCCCGCCCTCCTGCCTAGACCCTGACGGAGCCCTCTGTCCCCTGCTCTCTCCTGTCTGCAGCCGTCGTGGGCCAGGCCAAGCTGCTGCCCCCGGAGCGCATGAAGCACAGCATCAAGCTGGTGGACGACCAGATGAACTGGTGCGACAGCGCCATCGAGGTAGGTGGGGCTGCCTCTCTCCCTGCTGGCCCCCGGCCTCCTGCTGGGTGTCACTCCCCAGCCAGCCACCAGCCGCAGCCACAGCTAGGCCGTGGGGGGAGGGAGGGGTGGGCAGGGGGAGCCTCAGTGTCCAGACTACAGTCTGGGTCTTGCTCTCCTTGCATCCTGGTGGTGCCCTGGCATCTCCGTCCCCATCCCTCCTGAGCGGTCAGACATGGACTGGTGCCCACTGCGCCCACCTCACTCCTGGCAGCCCCCACGCCTGTCCAGACATCACATGCCTGTGCCATCATGCCTGCCTCCAGCCTCCCACTCACCATGTCCCCTCCTCTGCCCCCTGCCCATCGGTCTGGACTCCAGCCCATTTCCCACTGAGCCATCCCTCTGTACCTCCGTTCTCTCACCAATGCCAGCCGGTTCCAAAAAAGCTCTTTGGTCAGGCTGTACCCTTCAGCACTGCCCTGTGGGACTTTGCTCCAGCACTGAACAGGTTCATGTGTCGAGTCAGGAAGCCAGGGTGGCTCTGGGGGCCCAGGGCTGGGCTGCTAACTACCAGGCAGGTGGCTCAAGCCCACCCGCCTCCTTGCAGGAGAAACATCCAGCCTGGACACCCTCCAGAGCACACCTGCTCTGTCCTCGTGCCACTGTGCGTGGTTGTCATTGAAACAACGGGGTCCTTCTCGCTGTTTGTTTCATTTTAACTGGTGACCGTGGGGCACAGCCCAGCCCAGGAATTCTGATTTCACATATTACGGGAGCGGGCCCAGGATCTGCTCCTCTGGTTCTGGGTTGGGCTGCTAAGCACGAGGTCAGAGGTTTGAAACTACCAGCTGCTCCTGGGGGGTGGGGGTAGGCGGGGAGATGAGGTTCTCCGTTCCTGTAAAGAAGAGTCATACTCCCCAAACCCACAGGGGCAGTTCTGCCCTGGCCCACAGGCTCCCTGTGGCTCAGGGCCGTGAGCGAGAGGAGGTGTTTGGGGAGCAGGGTGGGGAGGGGCAGGGTACAGGACCCTTCCCAGAGGCTGCCCTGAGCAGCCACAGGCACCGACAAGGCTGCATCTTCCTGGAGGGAGAGCTTGCCTGCCCTCTGGTGGTGGAAGTTAGCTGTACTGGCGGCCGAGTTGAAAGGCGGGAATTTCCCCAGGAGCTCCTTGGTACCGGCCTGAGCCAGGACAGCTGCTCCCGCCTTCCTCGTGCCTCCCCAGCTGCCCTCTGACCTGCGCCCTTCTCTTCCCAAGGCCATACCCTCCCCAGCTGCCCTCTGACCTGCGCCCTTCTCTTCCCAAGGCCATACGTAGCTTGCTCTTGCCGGGTTCCACACATATGGAAGTCCTTGCCGTTGTTGGGCCTCTGTAGGCTGTGTCCCACCTGAGAAGCCTCCCACACC